CTTGGGGACAGCGACAGGAGAGGCCGTGGGATGCTGTGGTGGGGACGGGGGAATGTGGGCGCTGAGCCATGAAAGGACAGCAGACAGACGGGTGTTTGCAGCAAAGCTTTATTGGGAGAAGGAGGTGGTGGGGCAGGAGTCGGGGGGCCACACTTGCAGCGCTGCTGCGGGTCCGGGAACCCCCATGCTGCCACGCTCACTCCCTCTGCGAGCGCAGGCGGTGGAAGATGTTGATGCCGACCCTGCGGGGACACAGAAGGAGGAGACGTAAGGGTGCGAAATGCAGCCTCGGATGAGGCAAATGCACCCTGCCAGGGCCGAGTGCCCACCCAGCCCTGTCTCTTCCCCACCCCTCCCGGCCAAATTTGCACCTTGGAGGGACCCCCGGGGAGGCCATGCACAAGCACCTCATCCTCAGCAGCTCTGCCGGGGGCTGAGCACCATGGGGTGGGAGAGCCCCGAACCCCTCTGGGGATGTGCCGGGGACCTGTGCAGGGCAGGGACAGGGGACTCACCTGGTGGCTTTCCAGTCATCCTTGAGGTCGTTCACCCATGACCGCAGGAGCCACATGGTCTTCAAAACCTCCCTTCCCGTCTCATCCACAAAGCACTGGCCCGTGAAGACGGTGACGGAGTCTGCGGGGATGGGGTAGGAGGTGGAGGGGAGCATGGCCAGGGTGGCAGGTCAGTGCCAAGCCGTGGCCCTGCAGCTTGCCCCAGCACAGGGAACAGTAGATGGAGGCTGCCCCTGCTCTCTGGGGACAGCACTGATGGGGAAAGAAGGCAGGAGGGGTCAGAGGACTTGGGGTCTCACGTGGAGATGGGCAGGCAGCAGCAGGCTTCAGCCCCCAGCCCTTCCTCTGCACCCTGGCACTGGGAGGTGACAGCAGCCAAGGAGATCCAGGGTGAAGGATGGAGGACTGTTAGGGACACTACAGGGGATGGGAGAGCACTGGGGACACCACAGGAAGGAGGCAGGGGATCATCAAGGACACTGCAGGAAGGGCAGGGGAGCCCTGGGGACACCACAGAGGGGGCAAGGGAGCTCTGGGGACATCACATTGGAGGGCAGGGGAGCTCTGGGGACATCACAGGGAGGCTGGGAGGGGCAAAGAACCTGAAAAGCTCCAGTTGACGGTGAAGCCAAAGGTGGGCTGGCTCTTCTGGTTCACGTGGTGCTGGGATCCCTGCAGCGGTGACCGCTGGATCTTGTTCGTGGTGGCAGTCACGGCTGTGTGGTACGTGCCGGCGAAGTTGCCTAATCCGTTCACAGCCTCGATGGTCATGTTGGAGCCCAGGTCGTTGGTCCAGGTCCCAGTCAGCACGCACTGGAGCGGAGGGGACTCAGCATCGGTGCTGCGGCACAGCCCGGGTACGGGCAGGGCGGGAGGAGCGGGCACCCCCAGTAGCCGCAGCCCCCATGCCCACCCTGCTCCGTGCATCCCCACCCTGCCGTTACCTTTTTTGCAGAAAGGCCAGGAGCCACCAGGGCCAGGCTGAGGAGCAGGAGGAAGGGCGTCACTTGCACCATCTCTGCAGCAGGCAGGCAGCCGGTGTACCCAGGGACGTGCTCCTCACAGGGCTCTGCTGATGTGCCTGCTCCCTTGCCTTTTTATTGCTGCCAGGGCTGCGGGTGGCAGCTCTGGCCCGGGGCATTGTGCAATCTGGGTGTTTCCAAATTTGCAGTTCCCAACTGTATGAGGAGGTGGTTGCAGGCAGATATTCCCAGAATTGCCTGCAGAAACTGCCCCTGGCACCTCACACTTCCCTGGCACCTTGCAGGGAGACCCTGGCTCCTGCAGCTCGGTGACTGCCAGGATGAATGACCAGCCAGGGAAAACCCCTCTTGGGAGCTGTTGTCCTTTCTGCCACTCGTTTGCCACCCCATTGCCATGCCCGGGGTGTACAGGGGTGCCAAGGAGCCTTAACTCCAATGCACCCCAGGATCGGCCGCCGCTCCCTCACCCTGCTGCTCCTCCCCAGGCATCCTCATGCAAACCCACCTGGCACCAGGCTCCTTTCAGGGCTTTCCTTTATCTGCCCCCCGGTACTGAAGCAGTCTCAGATGAGACTACAAAGTGCCTGGTCTCCTCTCGCCTGGGGCTGGCATGAAGGTTTGCTGCTGTTTGCACAAACTGTTTTTTTGTTGGAAGGACATTATTTTGTTTATGAAAAACAAACATTCCCCAGATATCTTGAACGTTGCATTTCAATGCCGACAAAAATTGTATTTATGCAGGGATCCTTACATAACTTTAAGTTATGTATTTATATAATTCCCCTTACGTTATAGTTGTTGCTGGGCAGGGAGGCTGAAGTGGCTCAGTTCACACCACAATTTCTCACCCATTCCTCAATGATTTTCAAGGCAGTCTCCTAAAATATATGTGGTTTTATTCCCCCAGTCATCACAGCAAGAGCTGATGGAGCCCTGTTCACCAGAAAATGCTCCTTTTCTTAAAATGGAGACAAGGCAACTCTTTGCAACATCTCAGAAATACTTCCCACATTTTGCTTTTGCTTACTCCACACATTTTGAGTCCCAGTTTCTCTCTGACAGCAAAATTCATAGCTACTCAGGCTGGGGAGCATTGCATTTCTGCTGCCAGCATCTCAATGCACCCCTCTCCTCTCTGCAGGACCCCCACAGCTCTCTTGCACCCTTGCCTGCAAGAGCTCCCCAGCCAGACAGCTCACTGCCCGTGGGAAATTCCTGCCCAATGTTTTCTTCCCTCTGTCTTAGAAACTAACTGCACAACAAGGTATGTTTTCCCAGGCAGCTAATGTTTGCTTTGGCTGTTTTTTTCAGCAGGCAGGCACTGCCTGAAGAATGGTTGAGGTTTGTGATAATGAGCATGGTCAGCCTGGGAAGGTTGCAGGGGGAGGGGGGGGGGCAACCATCCCCCCCTTGCCATCACCCCCTTGCCATCACCCCCTTGCCGTCACCCTCTCGCCATCATTCCTTTGCCATTGCCTTGGTTCAGGTTGCTCCTGCAGGGATCCTGTGACCACCGGTGAGCATGGGGATGGGCAATACAAGGTCTCCATGGTGGCATGGCTGTTGATGGAAACCCACAACTCGTTTACAACCATAGGCTTATTTTAGCATCACACGAACAATATTGGTGCTATCTGCCCGTGACCTTTCTTTTTCCTGTATTTAACAATCCTATTCCAGTGGCCTATCTTGCAGCTGCGAGGATCCGCTTGGTGCTCAAGGACGTAGATTTGTTGACCAGTCTTAGCCGAGTCAAAAACAAAACAAGCCAAGGACTGGGGTATCTCTGCGGGGTTTGCACCCTCCAAAGGGCAGCCAGTGAAGCGGCTCGGGGCTGGCAATGATTACCATGGCTAAATCCTGCGATGCCATGCCTGAGCCTTGGTGCAGCAGGAAACAGGCAAGGGGGAACAGCCAGGCAGGGAGGAAGGCCAAAGCAGAAAGTGCTGAAGAAGTTAAAAATCGGCAGGGCTGTGGTTTAAACCTGTGTATGTCAGGGGTCAAGAAGGGGTTAATGAATAATAAGAAGAAAGGGTTAATGAATAATTAAACTCGCTGCTCAAGCTCGGAGTGAGTCAGCCTCGAAAAATATTAGTACAGGCAAATGTTAGAGAAAGTCGTATCTGCAAGCAAGGATTGTCCTCCTGGGCTGCAGCTGCGCCCACGCCAGCTGCCGAAAGCTGAGCTTATCAGATACGAGTTTTATTGAGGTGGCAGAGTCAAAAGAGGAGGACATAGGAGAAATATCCCTTGATTCAGACTGAATGCCCCAGCCTTTGAAAGAAAGTCTGCCAGCAGCCTACCGCCTGGGGTCAAGGAGCGATGCTGACAGGCCACAGCAATAAAACCCAGCCCGGTCAGAAGCTGTGCTGGCTTCATTACCTGCTTTTGTCCCTTGGCAGCTGGATCAGGATGTCACTGTCCCTGGTGGCTGCCAACACAAGACAAATGGAGGTGAGCAGCCCAGGTGAGCTGCACCAGTGTCCTGGCACCCCTGTCCCCCTCTAGCCTCACCATGGTGACCCTAAGGGAGAGCATCTTGGTCCCTCTCCATCTGCCATGGGAGGACAACACCGGCTGGTCCGGGGGGGCCGCATCCGGGACAAACTGCCCTTCCCGGATAACATCATTCCTCTGCCCAGGCGGATGCAGGAACACTCCCCGGGGGAAGGAAAGAAAAGGCCACTTGTCACCCATTGGCAGCACTGGGCCACTGCAGCGATGCCCTGCCTGCACCAGCAACCAGGGCAGGCAAGGGCTGGGGGGAGGACGGTCGGAGCAGGGAGGATGGACTGCTTCCCACCCCAGCCCTGACAGTACCTAAGGATTAAGGGAGGGCATTAGAGCAAACAGCTCTAAAGTGTGCAGAAAGAGTTTGCAGACAAATCTGAGGGCAGGGCCCCCTCCCACCCCACCCCTCAAATCCAGGCAGGTGCAGCCTTCAAATTCTGTGCTGGCAGAGAAAGGAGGAAAAGAAAGCAAGGTGCCCAGCCCCTGGCAGGAGGGGACACGACTGGGTCAGGGGCCAGCCCTGGGGCATCACTGCTCCACACAGTGGCATTCAGGAAGAATGTGAGGCTCCCTGCCTTCCCGGCAGCAGTGCAAAGAGCAAAGGGCAGGTCTCGCCTGCCATCACATCTAGTAGGGGGGAAGGCAGATCTTGCTCTTGTTAGCAAAACCCCACAAGAGCCAGCCTACAATTAGGGCTTGTCCCATTCCTGCATCCCCAGCCCAGGAAGAAAATGGGAAGCAACACCTTGCCCCCATGGCAGAGAAAATACACAAGAAGAAGGAGACAGCTGGACAATTTTATTAAGAACTTAAAATGATTCATCCTCTAAAATGTGCTCTGCTGCCCACCCCCAGCACCAGCAGGGAGGGGTGTCACGGTACCAGACCAGGACCTGCTGCTTGGGCTCCGATTGTCACTGGCCAGGGAGCCAGGGCTCCCCTGGGGATTGCATCTGCCACCTGGGGCTGGTGCCTTAGGGCAGAGCCAGTCTGTATCTGTAGTGTCACACACTGGAGGGACAACTACAGCATCCACGTGCCTGCATGCACCAGGTCAATGTCCTCACACACACACATACACCCACACATTTTCTTGCCCTGCAGGCCAGCTCCCACCTTATCCAGCCTGCTGACTGCAGGAGAGAGGTCTCCTGTGCTCCCAGGAAAGGTACCAGCTCCAGTTAAGGATTGCTGGGGGTCCTGCAGGCTGTCAGAGCCCTGAGCAATGAGGAAGGGGAGGCACAGGCTCCAGCAGCACCACCTTATCCCATCCCTCTCCTCTCCAAGGAGACAGCACCTGCACCTCTGGTCCCCCCCCCATGGTCAGCATCAGTGGCTAGAAGCCCCCTGAGGTGAAGGCTATATAGTGGAGGTAGGGAAGGAAAACAGCAATGTGACTATTATCAAAGAGGGGGACGGAAGGGTCCCCGCCCGCCAGCTGAGGCCCCCCAGCCCCCCGGTGCATCCACTGCCCTCCTCAGTGCCACCAGGCTTAAGGGTGGATGGGGATCTGGGGGTGCTGCAGGGGTGCTGGTGCCTGGCCAGCTCTGTGCTCCAGGGCCAGCTGCATGCTCCAGATGCTAAGGGGTCGCATGTAAGCCAGCGAGCGGTAGACCTTCTTCTCCCGATAGGCCTCAGGTGTCTGGAAAGCCATGCCCAGCTGCTCCCAAACTGTCCGGTAGCAGCCCTCCGCCGTACGAAAGCCTTCCTCCACGAGCCCCTGTGGCAGAAGGAAGACAATCATCAGCATGTCCATGAAGTGCAAGGAGATGGCACCTGCCAAGAGGTGCAGCATCACCACTCACCTCCTGGATCATGGTGGCAGCCAAGGCGTAGACCACGCCGATCCACACCTCGTTGGACTGCACACTGGAGGTGTCGGGCACCCCATCGGGTCTCATGCCATTCACTGCTCCCATGGTGCCACCAGCAAAGCTCATGACGTTCTTCTCAAAGATGGTCTTCAGTGCACTGACAACATGACTCTTGGGGAAGACCTGCATGGAGAGAGAGAGGGGCCTTTGGGCTCAGCGCTCATGAAGACCCCCTCAGGCTGGGTCTCCAGGGGGCAGGGTTAGACTCTCCAGGAGAAAGAGGTCAATGCTGCTCGCTGGATAAAGAGCCACCTCAGGAAAATAACAGGAGGAAATAAAAAAGCCTCTTTCCCAAAAGAGACAAAAAAGAGCAAGCAGTTGCTCAACAGAAGTGCTGAACTTCATTCCACCCTGCTCCTGGCCAACCACACCATCCTCACCTTGGCTTATGGTCACCCCTGCTCATTTCTAAGACTAACGACCATTTGAGACCCAGGCTTTCTCCTAGTAAGACCACTGTTCTCTCCGCCCATCTGCACCAGCTACAAGAGGCATTGCAATGCCTACAAGAGATGGGACATGGGTCGGAGGTGGCCAAAGGATGGTCTGGGATCAGTGACGCTGGAGGTACCTTCCTGCCAAAAGGAAAAATTATGGTAAAGCCAGTCTGATGACATCAGAATGTATCTTGCAGCTGCAAAGTGAATGTTGTGGATACTGGTAGGTTTGTTTGGGTAAATGCTGGGAATCTTAGAGGGTGGGGGAAAGATTCAGCTTCAGCTGAGCGGAAAAACAAGAACAGGGCTTAGTTTTGAGTGATTTCAAAAGGACTTTAATCCTTCCAATTTTGTAATCAGGTGGTGATGCAAGAGTTCGTGGCTTGGACCAACGGGAGTTTGAGGCGAGAGAAGGGGCAGCCTGGCAATGAAGAGGTCAGACCGAGATGCACAAGATGCCTGATGGTCTTCTGTGTCTGGTAGGAGAGACTTGAAACGTTTATCCCAAGTGAAAGTTAAAGACTCAAAAGTCAATAGTGCTCGCTGGATAAATGATCATTTCAGGAGATTATCAGGAGGAAGTAAAAATCTTCCCCCTCTGATAAGGGAGGGGAGGGGGGAAGTTGTTCAATTAAGGCCAAGAACTCAAAACAGTTACGAGAACAGACTGAAGTATCACACTGAGTAAGCTCTTGCCAAGAAAGAAAGAAAGAAACAAACAAAAAAAAGTCACAAACAAACAACAACAACAAAAAACAACACCAAAAAAAACCTAAAAAACCCAACCACCCCAACCTGAGCATGAAAACACCTGCCAGACAAACAGCAGTGGAACAGTGAAGACTGCATTAAGATGAAAAGCCTCTGCACACAGCTGAAAGTAAATAAAGCTTTTGCACTGCTTTCATTATTGGCAATAAAACTAGGAAGTGTCACTGCAACAGAAGTCACTACCTCAGTGAGAAAAGCAAAGATCAAGACTTGGTGATGTTGCAAGGGGTGGCTCCTCTCCATCCCACCCACGCCTAACGCCAAGAAAGCCGTAACAAGAACTTTACAGGGTGACCAAGATCAGGAGCAAAGTCAGAGAAGCAACCACGACATCTACTTGCAAGAAAGGGAAGAGCCAGGCGGCTTCCCCGGCTCATCAGCACAGCCCAGGGATGTGCCAGACCTTTCTTGTCACTTTGGTGCTACCAGAGCCAGAGGAAGCAGGTGTGGTGGCAGCAGGCAGGGGCTTGCCAAGGGTGGCTGGGCAGTCCAACCAACCAGCTTTAGTAGACTCAAAGGAAAGGCAGCAGTCCCTTTTATCTATACTAATGACAAGTATCTGACACAGTCATTTTCCCCAGTGTAGCTCTAGTGCTGTCAGGGAGCAGGAGTCAGCGGAGGGGTGGTGTGAAGCAGCCATTGCTGGCAGAAGGTTTCGAGGCAGTTTCTTCAGGACTGGGGTCACAGCCTTTTCTTACTCTGTATTTCATTACCGACCTGTGCATGCAGCAAGAGTGCATTAATGAGGTTACAAACAGGAGTGCTGCCAGCCAGGCAAGGGATCAAAATACATGGAAGAAAACCCTCTCTTCTGTTACTACCACCATGGGGAAGTTCACCAGTCCCATCGCCAGCGAGCTCAGAGCTCGCCAGACAGCCAAGGAGAGTGCCACCTTCAGGGACAGAGGCATGAGATTATGGAAGGGCAAGCAAGCTTTTTGGACTGCACTAGGTTTACTGTTTCCCCCAAAAAGGGATGTTTGGGTATTACTGCATGAGGTCTGGGCCAGATTCTGCCTGAAGCCCCAGGCACAACCCCAGTCTCCACACTCTAGGGACCCACACTGGGATAAATGCAGAAGGGCATGACCAAGCAGCTATTTCTCATTAAATCCCACAGCATTCAGCACAAGCTGCTCCCAGGGAAGGTCACTTGAGGCTCCCCTCGGATACCAAACAGTGAAATGGTCCATCACCCTCACATAGCCAAAAGTTAATCCTTCCTTCAGTCAGATGAAGTGTTTGCCTGTCCATCACCACCAGAGAGCTTTGGTCTGACAACTGTCTATGGGCCATAAATAATCCATACAATGGCTCTCCATCTCCCAGCTCTGTTCCAGGTATTGCACCACCAGCAGCTGCTCTTGTCAGGCCATCAGACAAGACGAGTTCTCAGACAATTCTTCTCTTGCAACTGAAGAGCCACAGATTTTAGGGCCTCAAATAAGCCTGAGTTGCCTCAGATATTCATTTAGGACTTTAAACTGGGCAGCAAATAACACGTGGAAAGTTTCATCCACTTTTTTCTCCTGTTTTTAAACAAATCGCACCTTGCTGAGAGCCAACCCCCATGGGACCTTCCTCCAAGCGTGCCAGGGCTGACCGTGGTTACACACCCCTGCTGCATGGCCTCTCCACGAGCAGATTTTGCTATAAGGCGGGCTGTGCCGATGTGCATTCAGCAGCCTCCACCCAAGCATGCACCACTGTTGGGGAGCAGGCTGGAGCCTCCCCACACCAGCCCCTAATGCACGACCCACAACACGTGCCAGCCCTGCTGCTGATCTCCTCCTGACGCACGTCTCATCTCACCCCAACCCACAACAGGTTGCCCCTTCTCCTACCTCAAACTCTCCTTGGTCCAGGCCACAAGCCCCAAGAAACCACTGCCCGGCACACTGGTCTGACATGATGCTGCTGGAGGTGTCACTCCCACTGCTGTCATAGTTGTAGTATTTTCCTGGAAAAGGCAAGAAACAGTCTAAAAATCGATAGTTCGGGACTCCAGCTCACATGTGCCATCCCTACACTCCTTCCTGCGAGGCAGGAGCACATCAGCTTTTTCCAGAATGCTCTATTTCCTTCCTTTCCCAGCCCATCACAGACTTCCTGTTTCCTCCCTGGTACCCGCTCCTTCCCTTCTGCTTGAAGGGATGGGATCTTCCCTCCTTCCTCCACCCTCACAAGGCTCCGTGACCCAAGGAGGAGCCACCCCCTTCCCAAGGGATGCCTGGCCAGCCGAATGTGGTTCCCCACCAGTGAGCACTCACCATTCCAGAGCATCCTCTCAAACGCCTCCTTGCCCTTGCTCAGGATGTCTGTGTATTTCTGCTGGATCTTGGCATCCCCGAGCACCTCTGCCATCTTGCACATCATGCAGACGGCTGCCAGCCACAGCCCGCCGCAGTAGGCGCTGCCAGAGCCAAAGGAGAGAGGCATCAGCAATGGCAGGACACCCCACAGGTCGCACAGAGCTCCCACAACAGATGAGGACCACGGGCCCAGCTCTGAGCTACCTCCCCACCCCATGCTCGCCATCTCCAACCTCCATCTGCCTTTCTTGCTCACCTGGCTCCATTTACCACCCATGCATCATATGTCTGGTCAGCAAAGCCACCATTTTCAATGAGCCCATCATTATCTGTGTCAAACTTTAGCTCTGACTCCATCACAGCCTGTGGGTAAGACAGGAGATGGTCATGCAGCCCCTGCATCCTGGCAGCCCCTCAGGCTCTGCTTGGAAGCATCCATCCTCTTGGGATGTGATATGGCTCCCAAGGGAAGTGGGGAAGGGTGATGCCTCATGGTCCAATCTCCCAGTACCTGGCAGACTGGCCACATATCCCGCAAGTACAGGTAGTCGTGTGTCAGGTAGTAGTCACGGTACACCTGCAGCACAAACTTCAGGTTGAGGTCCTTCCAGTCAGCCGTGTCATGCATCAGGTAGGCATTGACACGCTGCCACGGCTCATCACCTAAGCAAGGACAGAGCAGATGCAGCAGGGCAGCAAGCAACTAACACCCCCTCACCTACCCAAGCGCCAGGTCCCAAGGGTGCTGTAATCAAACAGCAGTGTGCCCAGGTGGCCAAGAAGGCCAACAGCATCCTGGCCTGCATCAGAAACAGCGTGGCCAGCAGGATCGGGGCAGTGATCGTCCCCCTGTACTCAGCACTAGTGAGGCCGCACCTCGAGTGCTGTGTCCAGTTCCGGGCCCCTCACGACAAGAAAGACCTTGAGGGGCTGGAGCGAGTCCAGAGAAGGGCAATGAAGGTGGTGAAGGGTCTGGAGCACAAGTCTGATGGGGAGTGGCTGAGGGAGCTGGGGGTGTTTAGTCTGGAGAAGAGGAGGCTGAGGGGAGACCTGATCACCCTCTACAATGACTTGAAAGGAGGGTGTAGCCAGGTGGGGGTCAGTCTCTTCTCCCAAGTAACAAGCAATAGGACAAGAGGGCATCATCTGAAACTGTGCCAGGGGAAGTTCAGGCTAGAAATGAGGAGGCATTTCTTCACCGAAAGGGTCGTTAGTCATTGGAATGGGCTGCCCAGGGAGGTGGCGGAGTCACCATCCCTGGAGGTGTTTAAGAAAAACAGGACGTGGCACTTGGTGCCATGGTCTAGTTGACATGGTGGTGTTAGGGCAAAGGTTGGGCTCAGTGATCCCAGAGGTCTCTTCCAACCAAATCGATTCCGTGATTCTGTAAAATAACACGTTGCACCCTGTGTCGTCTCCAGAGAGAGCAGCCTTCCTGCTACTGCTCAGCTTCCCTCTGTCTCCCTTGTACAAGCTCCATGCAGCATGGTCTTCCTCACTGCCCCAAACCAAGCTTTTCATTCCCAGAAAACAAACAGTGTATTCCATGCACCATACCCGTTTCCCACAGCTTGGGAGCTAATTACCCTGAGGAACTTGTGTGAGCAGCCCTGCACCCCCTCTGCCCCCCAGCAGGCCCAGCCGGACCCCTCACCTGGATCCCCAATGTCATGCGGCACCACATTCTTCAGTTTCACCTGGGCTGTCTGACCACACATCAGGTACTGTCGGGGCTGGACATCCTCATTCACCACTGTGACAGCTGGAGAGGACACAGAGCAAGAGACATCAGAAAGGCAGCAGGCACTGCACCAGCAAGCTCCAAGCACAGGCACAGGGCCACCAGCACCAGCACACCAGGCTGCCCTTTGGGGCTCCAGCTGCAAGATCACAGCCCTCTGCACAGGGCTGAGGGGACAACAGGCTCCCCTCAGCAGGGGACATGTGGACTTGTCACTGCCCCCTTAAGCAAGCACCCAGGGCTAGGATAGAACCCCAGTGGGCTCAGCCCTTCTGCAGTCCAGCAAAGGGCTGTGCACGACCACTGGTCAGGCCACCACCAAGCAGCCTCCAAGCCCACCCAAAGCATCAGGGTCTGCAAACAGCTCCACGCTTCTCCTCTGCAAGGGGAAGAGAGAGAGCTGGTAAGACCAGGGACTCCCCCAGGGCAGGCAGAGCCAGCTGTGCACCCCCCAGTGTGGCAAGGAGGCATCCCAGTGCCGGGCAGAGAGATGCTGAGAGGCATCAACACCAGGGGTTTGCAAGTCCCAGGCCCAGCACAGATGCTGGAGGGGGATGATGGCTCCACAGCACAGATTTCTAGGGCAGATGCTGTCAAAGGTCCTCCATATCTTCCCTAGGTGAAGACATCAACAGGCATCAAGCCAGGGTCTCCTGGGTCACTCACCAATGTCATACTGCAGGCTGATCTGCAGCTTGGGCCAGAGCATGACGAGAGCAAAGGAGGCGTAAAAGTGGACATCATAGGTGTTGTACATCCGGTACTCCTGGCCTGGAAAGACCGGGAAGATGGTGAGAGATGGGAGATCTGCCTCAGGGAGGGGAAAAGGAGCAGCAGGTCCTCCCTCCCACGTGACCCAGAAGGGTGGGCTCTTTCCCAGCACAGGCAGGGGCTCCTGTTAGAAGTGGGTTTTAATCTCTACATATAGCACCCAGGTGACTGGAGAAGACCTCATGCCATATCGTACAGGGATCGGTCCTGCAAGGGGTTTTGCAGGGAACAGCACTGCACTCTATCCATCAGCGTGCGAAAAGCATCCCTGCAGCAGGTTAGAAACACCTGGTGACAGCAATGGGGAGGGGTTGAGTTCGGACCATCCATCGCATCCCTGCAAGTTACCTTCCAAATAAGCAAACCTTCCGTACTCCCGCAGGACAGGGAGGAGGTGGGAGAGGCCAGCCCCCGCCGGCCCCTGCAGGTCCTCGGCACGGCAGTCCGGGGGCAGCTCCACCCAGATGGTCCCCCCATCCGTCATGAAGTACAGCTCATTGAAGAGGGCTGACTTGTACCAGGAAGGCAGCTGGCTGCAGGCAAGAGGGAAATTCAACCACAGTATCCAAGGTGGTGATGCTCCTGCTCTGACCAGCCCCAGGAGACCACCGGGAAGCTGCTCCCACCTACCCTACCTGTCCTCCAGGATGGGCTTCTGCCACGCTTCGATCTTCCTCTCCCACTCCTCATAGTGCGTCAGGGCGTGATGTGACAGCGCAGGAGCGGCATCACCTCCACTGCCAAAAAAACGGGTATACCGCCTGCCGAGGGGGGGTTTGGTGAGTACACCGTGGGCTCGGGCTGGGAAGCCCACCCGGCTATGGGAGAGGGGCTGGACTACAGTGAACACCAGAATAATGCAACTGCTAGTGCAGGGGCATTGAGGAGCAGGGGTTGGGGAGAAGGTCCCCTGGAAGCTGGCAGGCCCACGGCCGCAGGGAGTGGGTGGCACAAGGCTCCAAGCCTGGAGAGAGGGAGAAGGGGGCTTTGGGGACATGCCCCACTGCAGACAACCCACCCACCTGAGGTGCAGCTTCTCCTTAGAGCCAAAGTGAACCCGGGGCATGTCCCAAGCCAGGGCTAGCTCCAGTGTCCTGTGCCCCCGGGCAGGCACCCTGCAGCTGGCACACACCGCTGCCGCTGTCACCTCACCCTTCTCTGTTGGGCTGCTTTTACCTGACAGAGAAAAAAAAAAAAAAAGAGATATTCACAAGTAACCAAGGAAGTCCTATGGGGGAATAACTGATGGTCCCATGCACCCCGAGGGGGACAAGACTATTTGGGGATGGCTGAGCTCCCTTGCAAGCTGGAGGGTACATCCCCAGGGTTTTAAGGGATGACACTACCACACGTGAGTAACTGCTTTTTTTGCAAGCAGGAAGAAATACCTGCCATGGGCGGAGGGGTTAAAAAAATAAGTCATCAAAGCAGATGAACAAATCAGGCAGGAAAAGCCACCAGGCATGAGCGGAAAGGACAGAGCACCCCATGACTTTGTAGCTGCACCGCACTCAGACACTGACTTTCTAGTGACAGTCATCGTCTCCAGCTTTTCGCAGGGTGCTTGAACTGTGCCTGTATTTAAGAAAAGCCCTGAGGCAGCTGGATAATTATACACCAGTTCTGACATGTGTACCAGGTAAACTCATTAAAGCAACAATTTTAACAGAAGCACAGATCTTGATTATGATAATGCCTGGCATGCACGAAAGGAAACCACATCCCAATAGCCTGGAGAGCTCTGAGCGCATCTAGGCAGGAAACTTAGTTTTCCAGAAATATTTATGTAAACACTTTATTTACACAATTTAATCTTCAAGAAATCTTGCAAAGGCCCAGTGCCAGCATCGCTAGTTTGTCAGCACCATCCTTGTTCAAAAGCTGGCAGAGGCATTAGGCAAATGGGCACCTTTTATCACAGTAAGAGGTTGGCAGCAAGGGCTGGGAGGTGTCACCCTCCTTCAAGGCTTCTGTCAAGAGAGCGAGCAGACAACTGAGGATGATGCAGAAGTATCACGGAATACCAGAGACCTTCAGGGAATCGACGTAGTAACAAGAGGCCAGCAAGTGATGGCAGCACCACACCCCAAGGACTACTAAATGCCCGCTAGAACAAATCTGACAGGGTCCAGCTCGCAGATCTGGCAATGGGAACTCAGGGAAGGTGGCTGAGCATCACCCTGGCTACTCAGCAGAAATCTCAACTCGGCATGCAACCCTACACAAACTAACAAGACACTGGCATGTGCAATTAATACAGCCGAGAACAACCCCAAAGCAGTGTGAACAGCTTTTGGAGAACCACGAGGACAGCATGACAAGCAACAGGAAATTCAGATACAGCCTAAAGCTGGCAATGAGCCACAGCACCACGGAGAGCTTTTGGTGATGGCACCAAGGTAGTCAGAGGAAGGGAAAGCATTTGACACAGTCTCCAACAGCATCCTCCTAACTAAATTGGCTGCTCACAGCTTAGATAGG